AGAAAGCCGAGACACAAACCGTCCACTTTCCCCACTGATTTATCCGTCAACAGTAGGGGGAAAAAAAGCAGTAGGGGCCTTCACGATCTAAGACAACCGTCTCCAGAGACGGTTCGGCCTGCGTAAACTTTCCTGGCGCTCAACCCTCTCCCAACAGCCCCTCCCCGCGTCCTACCCGCAGTTCTCCCGGTGTAAACAGTCCTTTGAATTAAACCCAGCCGAGCCCAGGGGGTCGACCCAAGCCCCTGGGGACAGTGGGTGGACACTGGCAACAAGTTGGGCTTCCGAGGACAAACCGAGACCCCGACGGCCCTCCCCGAGAGCTGAGGGGTGCTGGCTCTCCCGCTCCGTCTCCGGCCCTTCCGTCTCCATTCGCTCTTACCTGGCCGGCGTTGTTCCACTTCCGGGCGGACCGGTTCCCCCCTGGAGCCCGCGCCCGAGGATGGTCCGTTCCGAGCCGGGCTTGTCTGCCGAGCCGAGTAGAGCGCGAGGCGGTGACCCGGGTGGAACGTGTGGCCGGTCGCGGCGCTGCTCCTGTAGTGACAGCAACGCTCCCGGGGGAGGCCCCGGCTTCCAGACTCCCGTGTCTGTCCTCGAGTTCGCGGCAGCTGAGCACTTTACGTAACCTCTTTATGTAAGCCGCACCTCCCGCCGCAGCTCTGGTCAGTGGAGATTCCTGGTGGCCCATCCCCCAGGAGGCCTGCCGAAGGCTGCGCCGCCTCTGCACTGCCGAGGTCGACCCAGCAGCCGCCACAGCCCGGAACCAATCACCGGCGAGGACACCCAGCCAACAAAAAGAGCGCGCCAAAATCCCGCGACCTGTACAGAGGGCCCTCGCGAGTCGTCTGCGCTCGGCAAACCCCTCTGCGCGTCTGACCTGCATGGTAGCTCCACGCCGGCACTTTATGCTGATTGGGTGAATGGCTTAGGTTTGATTGATCACAGCCTCAGGCCTGGGTTGGAATGCTGATCCTCACGCCCACTAATGATCCCAGTGGTCCCAGCCGCGCTTAATCCTCAATATCCTTTTCTGCCATGCCCGGTGGCAGAAGGACCAGGTTGCAAAGGACCAAGTGAAAGATGATGGCTAATTGAGTGCCCCGATATAAGCTGCTTTGGGCTTGGATTTGGGATCCCTTTCACCCCGGCCGCCTGTTGTAGGGGGAGGGAGCACGGGATGACTGTGTAGTTAAGAATGATCTTGAACTTTTCCTCCTGGCTTCATTTCCTGAGTAATGGGATTAAAGGCGTGCACCGCCACACCCGATTTGGACATTGACAGGCATCAAACCCAGGGCTATGTGGGAGCTAGGCAAGCACTTTACCAACTGAGCTACATCCCCAGCCCTTATGAATGGACTTTTAAATATTCTGTGCCCTGCTTTGTACCCCAGTGCCTAGAAGATATCCAATATTTGTTAGCCGAATCTCCAGATATTGAAGGACATAACTAGAGTTTCTGCTACATGGTATTTTAAGTCTGGGGAAAGAGCAGTGGGCATGGCATTCTCTGTCTTAATTGTGGTTCTTTGCCACTAGAGGAGACAATCAACCTTGTGTCTTCATAGAGGTTACAGAGTTAAAGTACTGAGAACAGAATAGAGTTTTGCAAAATAAATGGTAGACATTGTAGTCAAACAAGATAGATTAAATGTGCCATAAAAGAATGAACTAGAATTTCTGGAATTTTGGAACAGACCACTTAAGATACCATGAGCACCAAAAACCTCTAACTTTTGTGTATGTTAAGTGTCAGTGTACACACAAAGTGTAACAATAGTAGAGAAGTCTCACCCTTTTTGTCAGAATTACATTGTTTTGCTATATTTTCATGTTCTGTGAACATAAGTATATATACATATGTATACATTTTGTTTTTGTTTTTTTGTTTTTCGAGACAGGGTTTCTCTGTGTAGCTTTGGAGCCTATCCTGGCACTCGCTCTGGAGACCAGGCTGGCCTTGGACTCACAGAGATCCGCCTGCCTCTGCCTCCCTAGGGCTGGGATTAAAGGCGTGCGCCACAAACGCCTGGCTATATGTATACATTTTTATATGTATATCCTTTTATAAATCCTTTTAAATTTAGATGTCGTACTCCAGAATGTAAAACAGCCTGGGTGATGGCTCAGTGGTAGAGCTATTTGCCAAGTGAACCTGGTGGCCTGATTTCAATTCCCCGAGCTGACAAGAAGGTAGAAAGAGCACCAACTCCAAAAACAGCTGTTCTCTATCCTCCACCCTGGTGCCCACAATCATACAGAGATTGGGGGTAAAACAAGGGGATTGAAAGGCAGCTGCTGAAGTACCTGATAAACCCTGAATTCAAATTTTATTCTTTATTTTGGACTCGCTTAAATTAATAAAGTAACCTTCTCTTCCTGTTAGGCTTGCTAGCATTTATGAGGATTTCCTATCTTCCAAGCCCAGAGCTTGACAAAGCAAAACACACAGACAGTAACTAATAAAAATTTAAAAAGTCAGTTTCTTTCAAAGTTAAATGTATGTCTGCCTATGGCGCAGCTAATGCCATGTCTAGGTATTTGCCCATGATAAATGAAAACTTAGATTCACAAATAGACTTTTGTATCATGCTATTCATAGTGCCTCTTCCCATGAGAGTCCAGAAACTGCAAGACACTCCTGTGTTCACAAGTAAATAAATAGACAAATTGTATCATCCCCGTACAATGGGAACAAAAGTAGAATTGAGACTGGACAGCATGGATGAATCAAAATAATGCTGAGTGAAAGAATCCAGGGACAAAAGAACACGTGGTAGGTGACTCTTAGACAGTTCTGGAAAGAAATATGACCTAATTTATATTAGAGAGTGGGTGAGGGAAAATATTTTGGGGAAGAAAATATATCCATTATTCTATGTGGTGGTGGTTTTAATAGGAAATGGTAGAATACCTCAAGTTGTGCCTTTTCATGGGTTTGGTTTATGTTTATTGACCTTTCAGCTTCACCTCTAAAAATGGGTTGCAGAGCCGGGCGTTGGTGGCGCACGCCTTTAATCCCAGCACTCGGGAGGCAGAGGCAGGCGGATCTCTGTGAGTTCGAGGCCAGCCTGGTCTCCAGAGCGAGTGCCAGGATAGGCTACAAAGAGAAACCCTGTCTCAAAAAAAAAAAAAAAAAAAAGGGTTGCAGATACTACATAATGTATGAATCTATTAATACTACAAAGTGTACTCATTAGCTTTTGGTAGCAGAAATGTCAGTAGTTGACTTTAGGGTAGAAATGAACTGCCAAATGACAGTGATGGAATTTGTGAATTATACCACAATCAAGTTTAAAAGTTGAAAACAGCCAGGCAGTGGTGGTGCACACCTTTAATCCCAGCACTCGGGAGGCAGAGGCAGGCGGATCTCTGTGAGTCCGAGGCCAGCCTGGTCTACAGAGTGAGTTCCAGGACAGCCAGCATGGCTACACAGAAACCCTGTCTCAAAACAAACAAACAAAAAGATGTAAAACATTCTAAGAAAAAAAAAATCTGACAAAGTCTGAGCCCCACAGCCATGAAAATTTGTGTTTTAAAGGAGAAGTTTCTGAGGGCAAGAGTGCTGTGTGGCACAGCCTGGCTCCACTCCTGCCACCCTTGGGTCCATAGTCTGAGAAAAGTCAACCTCTCTTCTAGTGACTATCACTGAATTTAGTGAGACTGAGCATGAAGTTCTTGGGAGGACTGTGGGTGTGAGTCTTTTGCAGTGGTCATATTACCTAATAAAGCTCTCTTGAAGTTGTTTAAATTACAAACATAACCTTATTTACTATTGTGCCTGACAGCTAACATTTCAAGATTGGCAAAGAACCCATGACATTGTAGAGAGGTCGTTACTATCATTAGCCCCATTTTACAGACGACGAAAATGAAGGCGCAAATTCTTCAAGGTTTGGAACCAAAGCCCCAGGCTCTTCATACCCTCCCTAGGATTAGAAAATTGGTGGTAGGGGTGAGGACAATGAATCATTTTAGGATGAATGGTTTGGGAAATGGGGGACCCACATTGAGATCATTGGGAAAAAGCTTGATTTCTGTAAAAAAAAAAAAATAGCCAAATGTACCTCTACTAAGAAAGTATTCCACCAGGCTGTGGTGGCACATGCCTTTAATCCCAGCACTCTGGAGGCAGAGGCAGACTGGTCTCTGTGAGTTTGAGGCCAGCCTGGTCTCCAAAGCTAGTTCCAGGACAGACTCCAAAGCTACACAGAGAAACCCTGCTTCAACTGTCTACCCCCCTCCCCCGCCAAAAAAGTATTCCATACCAGACAGGAGAGCAAATGAAAGTCCTTGAGGTGGTGAGAGTGCCCCCAGGAAGCCAGTGGGGCAGCTAAGAGCAGTAGGAAACAGGTGTTTGAGGACCCACAATAAGGCAGGAGCAGAGACCATGGTAAAGGTTTAGGGCTTACTGTGATGATAGGAGCAGCTGGCTACTACATATAGCCGCTCCTTGTAAGAGAGCTGAGGCTTAATTATGTTAAGAACTGTCCCTCAAAGTGAGCAGACTGAAGGTTGAAGCTAGAGTGGGGAGTCCAGCCCCCTTCTCCATGTTCACACTCCAAAGGACTAAGAACACACAAAAACACCAGGCCTGGTTCTGGTTCCATGAGAAAGTGGGGGGTTCTGGTTTGCAGAGAAAGATTGTGGGGAGTAGAAGAGTGAAGAAGGATATAAACAAAGAGCTCATAGCTCTAGAGTTGAGGGGAAAATTAGGGGGAGGGATAAAGGAAGGCTGCTCTGGGCCACACTGTGGAATGGTGATTGTAACAGGGCAAGAGGGCAGTCCTCAGTAGACCATAGTACCAGGATACAGGGGCAATGGTGAAGACAGTTGCTTGGGGTGGGAACACTGGAAAGGACCTGGGCAGACCAAGCAGCTAGTTTGTGAAGTTCCTCTGAGTAACAAAACTGTAACTTCATAGACCTATATTATCTATTTTTTCATATCTGAGACCAAAGAGGAAATTAAGGGAGGAAAGATTTATTATTCTGGCTCACAGTTCAGAGGAATACAGTCCATCAAGACGAGGAAGAAGACACAGCGATGGAAGTGGCTTCCTTCAAGGTATGGACCAGGAAGCAGAGAAAGGAGAATGCACTTTTCAATGGCACCTTTCTTTCCTTTTCTACATGGAAACTCATAGAATAGGGCCACTCACCTACAGAAAGACACAAAAACTCCTAGGAATTTCTTCTCTCTTTCTTTCTCTCTCTGTCTCTCTGTCTCTGTCTCTCTCTGTCTGTCTGTCTCTGTCTCCCCTGCCCGCCCCGCCCCATTTTCTTTATGAGGCATGGTTTCTCTGTGTAGCTTTGGTTGTCCAGGAACTCACTCTGTAGACCAGACTGGCCTCAAACTCACAAATCCCAATGCCTCTGCCTCCCGAGTGCTGGTATTAAATCACTTAACCAGTGTACTAGGTATTTCTTATTCCAATCAATATTAATGAAAATAGTTTCCAGAGAAATCTGGAGCTTCCTGTAATGCCATGCCACTCCCAATAAAGCTGCATGAAAGAGACTGTGTCCCCATTTTATGGAGGAGAAGACTGGGGCTTGCAAGTTGAGTGTCCATAAGAATCCCTCAGTGGACTAGGGAGATGGCTTAGCAGTTAAGAGCATGCCTGCTTTTCCAGAGATCCAGGTTCAATCCCCAGCACCCACATGACAGTTTATAACTATAAGTACAATTCCAGAGGATCCAACACTCTCATACAGCCATACCTGCAGTCACAAACAGCAATGCACATGAAATAAAAAATAAAATTAAAAAAGATAGTCTTAAAAAAAAAAAGAATCCCTCAGTGAGGGGGAGGTCCTTCTGTGTATATGTTTGTCTTATTGGTTGATAAATAAAGCACTGTTGGCCAAAAGGGAAGCAAGTTAGGCAGGACTAGGAGAGGAGGAGGATTCTGGGAAATGTAGGGAAGGAGACAGTCGCCATGTAATCCCAGGAAGGCCGGCATCTTCGGTAAAATAAATCCTTATAAAAATATATAGATTAGAGAGAAATCCTGTCTTGAAAAACCATATGTGTGTGTGTGTGTGTGTGTGTGTGTGTGTGTGTGTGTGTGTGTGTGTGTGTTAGTAGTTACGGTTGATAATTAAGACTGAGCTAGCAAATAAGAAATCCTAGTCATTGGCCAGCAGCATTGTAACTAATATAAGACTCTGCTATTTGGTGGCCCTAATTCAGCAGCAGAACCCAGGCAGCTGGTGGAAAGAGTTACTGTTACACCTCAGTGGCTGGGCAGTGGTGGC